AAGGCGGCCCTGGGCGCTGAGGGCTTCCCTCGGGCAGATGGCGCGGCCTGCACCGGGCACGCGCCTCATGTCGGCAGTTTAACCCCGTGAACGGGCGGCCGCGTGGGAAACGCTCGGGGCCGGGGCTCTCACCGTGCCCCGTGGATGGTGCCTGGGCAGGGAAAGGAGATGGAAAGGGTGGAAAAGGCAGCGCCAGCCCCGCAGCTCTCGCTGCCCAACTCACCCGAGCTCCCCACGCCACCAACACATTAGATCGCTCTCCCCGCTTTGCTTCTGTATTTGCCCTGAAAATACATCGGCAACAACGGGGTTGGCAACTTACATTTCTGGATGCCGACTCCTCCGGGTTGAGGCTGCCCTAGGACACAGTCTTTATGGGAGTGGGAGCAGGATGAATCCTCTGGAAGGACTTCAGAGACGGAACAAATCCTGTGCTGTAGGCAATGCTGTTGCTGCTTATTAAAAAGCCCTTAACTAGTTTGTTCAGTTTTGAATCTTTTTGAAATGGAGCTGCCAGAGCAACAGGGAAACAAATTTCTGATCCAAATCCAGCCCTTGCCCCTGCCCTCATATTTTATTTTACCGACTGTCGCTTCAGTGCCAGAAGGGAAGATTGGCTCTATCACGCTCTAAATTGGTGCTTTTACATTAAAAGAAACAGATTGCTAAATTTGTGAAATACTTAGACATGGCCACACAACACCTAGGAGCACTTTGAGCTGAGGGACAGCCTCAAAGAGCTCAGCAAAGGCCAATAAGGAACCAACCCCAAGGCCATTCCCAGCAGGTTTGCATTTATTCCTTCCAGTCTGTAAATCCAAACACCTGGGAGCTCTGGGGGTGGATCCCGAGCGGGGCCATCGCGGAGCTGCTGCCCCGAGGCCGTCCCCAAACCTGCACCGCGGGCACCGGCCCCCCTGGGCCTTGGCTCCCTGGGGACACGGGCCAAGGGCTGCGGAGGAAGGTCGGGGTGGCCGGAGCCAAGCGCGGGAGACGGGCGTTTCACCGGCTCCGTTTAGGGGTTTAAAAACAGCACCCGGGTACATCTAGGGCTCTACCGATAGCACACAGCGTAACGGCTTAAAGCTTTCCTTTCTGTGTCTCTTTTAAAGCATTTCTATTTTTGACCATTTCCTACATTTATGTCATCCTGTCTCGCAAATACTCTGGGTGGTATTTTTAAATAAATAATTATGGTTTTATTTTTTTCTATGCCTTCCTTAAATGGTTTAAAATCTATCTGACAACCTCTCGTGGGACACCTATTTAGTGTCAAAGACCATAATGTTCCCAAGTTTTAAAAGGCCTCAGATAATATTGATCGATCAATGTGCTCCTTGGGAAAACAGCTCTCCAGATGGTCTATCGGGACAGGAATTGCCGGGCGGCACAATGCGGAGGCCGAGAGCGTCACTAATGCGGCTTGTTGAGCGGCACGCTTCCTTTGTGCCCCTTCAATGGCAGAAATGGGGAAGAAAGTGTGGGAAACTCTGCGAAACTCAGGCCCACACTCTGAGGTTAATAGGGGCTTTGTCAGCAGAGTATTCCTGGGCTGTGGGATCAGCATAATAAACATCATCTTCCCCAAGGGCGGGAATGTGCTGGAGCAGGGGAGAGTCACCCCAGGGGAGAAGCACAGGAAGCTTGGCCTCCAATTACTCTAAGTGATAATAATTAATAAGTGTAAACATAACCTTTGCTTTGCTGGGGCTGGTGAAGCTGGAAGCCTGGGTTTTAGCTCACAAGGAATTGGTGAACCAAAGTCAGGGGAGGTTTGGGTCCTTGGTCGGCCCAGCCAGGAGAGCTGCGCTCGCGCCAGCCATGGATCCGAGTGCCTGGAATGAGCGGGAGGCTTTCAGGTGGGATTCGGGTGGGATTTGCATCAGCCTCTCCATCAGGAAAGCGGGAACCTGCAGTTTCTCACCCTTACTGGTTCTGCAATCCCTCACCGTGAGCAGGATGTGAATGTGGCCCCATGCAAACGCAGCCAGGCGCTGGGGTCCGGACGGCTGCGGTGTCCCTGTGCCCATGCCAAGGGCTGGCAGGGGTCCCGGGCTCCCCAGCCTGACTGTGATCTCCAATGAGTTATCAGATCTTTTGCCTGGTTTCTTTTTCAGCCTAGTATTAGGGGCACCGGTTTCGGATCTGTGCTCAGTGTGTGGCGCTCTCTTTTTTTTTCCTTTTCTCTTTTCCCTTCACCTGGTGCATTTTGAAGAACCCGCTCCAAGCGGCCGCAGCACCAGGCAGGTCCTGCCTCGCTGTTGCTCCGGGGCTGTGTTGGGGCCCATCCTGCGGCAGCTGCAGCCTCCCCGGGCCGTCCTGTGGCGCGTGGCCCTGCTCCCCGTCTCGTGTGCGTGGGCAGAGCAGAGCTATGGGGCAGCCTGCGCTGCCGCTGAGCCCAAACTGCCCCAGGAGGATCCGTGTCCCCCCACCTGTATGCCCCAATAATTAGGTTTGAGTCAAGAATACGTAGGCTTGACTGGACAGCTTGAATTTCACTGGTATCGAGAGGCTCACGCGAGCTGGCAAAGACAAGCCGAGCATGGCAAGGTGGAGGGGCTCTTCTCAATCACTTAGCAACCACCAAATCTGTAAATATCTCCCCTGAATTATTCCGTAGGAAGTTAGGAAGAGCTAAGCGTTATTGTGGAAAATCCTGCGGTGATCAAGGTGCTGCAAGGCTGGTTCTAGGATGGCCCTTCCGTGCTCTCCTTCCTGCCTCTACCAACGCCTCCCGCATCCCCCATCCCGCCGGCCGGGCAGGCTCCTCTCCCAGGAGGCAGGGGCCGCTTTT